ATACTCTGGTACAAGTAAAGGTCCTGCATTCAAACTGTTACTCAAGTAAAAGAAGAAAAGTATTGGTATCTAATGTCAACTGATGAGGAGAGTGGGCTCGTTCCCCTTTAGGAGGGAACTACATGTTGTCTGCCTCTTTGGGCAATTGGTGACGCAGATGCTGTGAATATTTGATAGAACCGAGCCAAAGATAATAGCCAGAAAAGGTTTACATGTTTTCGAGTAAGGTGACAATTTCCTTAATGATTTATTTCTAGATCAATCGATAAATCTTTGGTTGATTAAATGACGGAAAATTGTGAAAAATATTAATCCAAGTTTAATTAAATTGCAAGGGGATGCCTTCAAACGTACTGTTTGTCAGTTTAAGAACAAGAGATATTATTTTTAATATAATTTTAAACTAATAAAAACCAAATATCTCAATAATTGAGAGGTTTGACTTTTTCGCCTGAAGGAAGTACTTAAATGATTAATTGATTATCAAATTAGATGATTCATATCTTTCTGGTGATTGAATAATCGATAAGTCTGCATAATTATTGATTCTTTATCTTTTTATAAGAGCACTCACATGCCAATATGTATATTGAAATACTTTTTGGTGGCTGTAATGGAAACCTATCTTTTAACATACTGTAAGTGTATATTGGGTTAGCTTGCACTGAAGTAAATAAAGTAAAGCCTGCGTCAGCTTCTTCAGAAAGGGACATAAATAATCCCAGGGTCATGCTGCAGTAAAGACGAAATACGGGCTGGCACAAGACAACTCAAATTTGATTTAGTCTCAGTTTCAAAATACAGATAATCAAATGTCTAACAACACAAACAAACTGACACACACTACTTAATATGATCTAACAGTAGACAAGGAGAAAACAAGAACAGCAGACTGCCATCGACGAGTAAAGCAAACAGCATCCGCTCTGTGACAGGAACTGTGTCGCAGTAGCAGCTTGATTCTTATTGCTGCCATCTTTGTTACAACATCTAACGTCTGATTGCTGCAGGATTTAAAGAGGTGCTGTTGCCCTCTTATTATATTAAATAGCAAGATATTGTAAACCTTGTCACAATGTACAAGTGAACTAATCAAGCATTCATATGGAAATGCTCTGTTAGGTTGGATTTAAATGTATATTTTGCTCTATATGCCGCTGCAGTTGTTTGAATAGGATCTGATTGCTTTTAGAGACAATAGGCTTACACGTATAGGTGTGGGAGGCAGTATGCATTATACCAGAGGAAGTGAGACTAATTATATTTAAAACTGTGACTGTTAAAAGCAAAGTGCTGAGGTAGGTCAGAGATCTTTAACTCATCCATTGATGGTGGAAAAATATGGACAATTCATTTCATTTAAACTTTAAGTGGACCTATTATGCTACATTGGAAACATATATTGTAGGGCCATACAAAACATGTCTGTGAAGTTTTTTGCTTAAAATACCAAACAGTTCACCCATAGCCATGCCTCATACTGCTCATACCCCTCTTTTGCAGCCCTGTTAGAGAAACAAGGATTTTGGGTCCTTAGGTTAAAAAAAAAAAAAAGAGGAGGCGGAGCTAATGCCTGATCAGAATTCTACCGGAGATAAAGTTAAATTCTGCTGTGATAAAACGCCATCCTGTTCTAAACCCACATCAAGGATTATTTCTGAAACAGTATGGAGCTCAAATGCTTTTTCTCTTGCGGGTTTATCACAAGGTGAGTTCCTTTTTTTATTTCCTGCTTTTTAAACACATGTGCTCCACAGCACAGGTTAGCTCTGAGTGTTAGCGAGGCTTGCTAATGTAAACAAAGACGAGATTACGTCCAAAACACGTCAGGCTTTGTTTCGGATAGCAACTTTCTGTGGGTCCGCTTCCGATTTGACGTCAGATCGGCAGCAAATCTGTATCCGCTCGTTGTACACCCGTTTTTAAAAGATTTGGGTACGGAGGAAAAGAGAGAGGGTTTTATTTTCTGACGCTGCGTGAGTTCCCCGACGCACTGGGGACACATATTAATGTATAAAAGACATCACAAAGTGCATTTTGCATGATAGGTCCCCTTTAACTTTAAGAAGAAAGTAACATAAGAAAATCCATCTTTCAAATTCTAGCACGTGGGCTGCTTCTACCCGTGTTATCCATCCACTCACTTTATTTCTCTTTAGGAATGCATCCTGACAACAGACCACCACTTTTCCTAATAATGAGACGATGAACTGTTATGTAACTGCACATTTATGCATGCATAGAATCATCCAATGACATCGTTTTTGGTCAAACACCTCAAATGTTATGGGAAAATAACTGGAAAGCTTTAAATTGAAATAGAGATATATATTTCAGGCCTTAAAGTAATAAAACAGTAGCAGAACAAGAAAAGAAAGACAAAGAGTAGTACCGACGATATACTATAACAATATTCATTTGTAAAGGTTACATTAATCTCTATCTAGAGAGGCAGACTTTCATATTGCATATTTACTATACATATTTGCTTGCTCCATAACATGTTTCACATGTTTGGCCATATTAAGTGTGTATATTGCAAGTGTATGATACCTTTACTTTTGTATCCTCCTCATATGTAAGTTAAACTGCCACACGATTAAACCCCACCTTAAATCAGTCTAATACATCTTATTTCTCCATTTAGTTTACATCCCTCTACATGACCACATACTTCTTCCATAGCTCACTTCTCCTCATTGAGATCGATGTTACATTTCATCCACTGGCTGTGTGTTGATGCTTGTTTCTAATTTGAAGCCCTGGTGTTGGCATAGCAGGCTGCAAAAGAACCGCTGCCCACATCCTGAGCCTCCGGGCCATGAACCCACCCTGCACTCCATCTAGAGCTCTGCATGGTGTTGCTGTAATCCACTCAGCTCTCTTTCCATGCAGCAACCCTCTCTTCCTTCTATTCCGACCCCCCTCCTCTGCCTCCTGGAGTGACAATATATTTGAAAGCTTAATCTTTTAAAGATGTACTTCATATAAAAGTGTTTTCACTTACTATATTGGTTAAGCTTTCTGAACTAATCCCTTCTTTCTCATACAGTATTTACCTGTTTTCAGCCGTGTTAGCACTATGGCTGGGAATAAATATCGGATCTAAAATATCTAAGAAAGCCATGAGGCTTGGTACAAACATTCATGGTCAGCAGGGATAAGCCCTGGAGGATTTGGTGATCCTTCTACATTATTACTAGCACAAGCAGCTTCAAAGCGTTGACTTATCCATATGTAAATTAATCGATACGTCTATCAACGGAAATATAATCCTCAGTTTTTTCAAAAGAGATTAATGGTTTAAGTTGTTTTTCCTGTAAAAATGGCAGAGAATACTGATTGCAGCCTCTGAAATAGACATGTAGGCTACTGCTCTTCTTTATATTATATCATAGGGCTGCTCGATTATGGCAAAAATCCTAATCTCGATTATTTGGGTCAATAATTGATATCACGATTATTAAAAACGATTATCCATTTACTTTGAAAACACCGATTTATTGAAAGAAAATGTGAACAGTTTGCTTTTAACAGTTGATTACCCTGAACTTAAGTATAATTCAACTGAAAGACCAATACAAAAAAAAAATGTTAACTAAAACAAATAATAATAGTTTTATTTCGATTGTGTTGTTTTCATAATCGTTGCAAGCCAAAATCATAATTGCGATTAAAATATGATTAATGGAGCAGCCCTATCATATCATATTAAAATATGAACTGATAAAACAAAACACAAAACAAATCTGCTTGGATTTAGAGAAACAGGGCTTGAAATGTTTCAGTTTTTCGTGAAATATTTGAACAACAAATAATAACATAATCAAAACATAATAATAATAATACTAGTAAGTTGCTGCCCTAACCACCGCTTTGTCCATGCACACTGTATACTGTCTGTCCATTTTGTATTTGTCGGCCTTACTTCACCTCTATTCCATAATTATTTTATTGACCATCACTTTTTTTGTACTTCTGATGAGCATGATGAGTTTAGCACACACTTCAAGTTGCTGTGGATGAGACCATCTGCTGAATGTATAAAATATACAAATGGAAGTGTAATGCCGCTGCTCTACATGATAGCCGGTGAAAGGGGGAGTGGGCTCATCACTACATTTATAACTCAACGTTCTGCTGGGACCCTGACAGCACACTCAATGTAGGTGAGCTGCAGTCTGAACATGGCTGTCCTGGATACTCTGTCCTTAGCAGACTCTATATTTATTGTAACAAGGAACAAGTCAGGCATCAGGGAGATGAATAGATGCAGAGAAAAACAAACATCCTTTCTTATGCACATATTCAGGCTAATTCTTGCCAGAGAGACTCAAGCTCAACAGTGCGAAAAGGAAGCATACATCAGGGGTGTCCAAACTACGGCCTGGGGGCCAACTGTGGCCCTGGGTCCATTTTGAATTGGCCCTCTGCTAATTCTAAAAGTAAAATGTAATATGGCCCACACCTGAAACTTGCGCTTTACTCATATTGTTCTTATTAAATATATGTAAAATATATTACACTGTAGTCATGTGTTAAGACACATTTTCTATTTCAATTTAAGTTGATAACATTTTCTAACAAATCTTAGTTGATAAAACAAAAAAAAGCCCAATAACTTATTTGCACAACAAGCTTGAAATCTACCCTTCCTATTTCCTTTAGACATGACTGTGCAGGGAGTTGAGAAGCAATCTGACGTTATTGTTTTAAGGGATGAGTTCCCAAACCTTTTTGTTACAAAATGAAAATAACTAAACCTTGTTAATGGAAAGCTGTGATGTAGGCTGTCTTTAAGCATATTCAATTATCAAGAATAATTTATCTACATTTGATTGATTTTGCTAAATTATAACTTAACCTAACATATGAGGCAGCATACCTAACCTCTAGTGAGTGGCCAAGCCCTTTATATATATTTTTGTATGTGGCCCTCAGTGAAAAAAAATGGACCCCCTGATACACATAGACTGACAAACAATCCTGCACCCTTGTACCTGACAGTGAAGGTCTGCTGCCATGTGAGGCGGGGCTTAGGGTCAAGCACTGTTTGGGGTGAAAGGTCAGCAGTGAGGGTGACTCCGGAGCCGCGCAGCAGCAAGGTGACGTGGTCCGGCAGCAGTGAGGGGGTCTCGGAGGTGAAGGTGATGGAGATGAGCTGGGCGTAGCTGTGGATCTGATGACCCAGGAATTTCTCTAGATGGAGGACAGAGGTTGGATGTTAGAGTGGAGTCAGCTTTAATATTGAAGGCTCAGCTCATTCTCTGCCATCCATGTAGGGAACACAGAGACCTTTACCTGTCTGCAGGTGGTGGGAGCTGAATTAGTAGATTCAAAGGTTTTATGGTCATATGCACAGGGTTGGGAGGGTTACTTTAAAAGGTAATCCGTTAAAGAACTAGTTACATTTCAAAAATACAACAATAACAAAATCTGATTATCAAAATATAAAATAAATGCACTTTTTGTTACTTTTGGAGAACCTAAATATCAAATGCAATGCAAATAAAAACAAGAGAAACAAAATTACAACAAGATGTTTTTTACTTAAGTGTATGTAACAATGTTAGCTTAGAAACTAAGGAAACAAGGTATTTCATATACAAAATGTAGTAACAGTAATAGTTCACAAAGGCTGTTTAAGCTAAATATATGAATCAAAAGCAGAGACTGTATGATTGTTTAACAAACAAGTGTCCACCTACTGCCTTGCAAAAGAAATGTCTTTTAAAATAAAAAATAATTAAAGTAAACATTATTTAAGAAAAATAATTCACAAAGTTTACCTTTTGTATATTGATCTGTATTTCAACATGTATTGTAACTAGTGGTGCACGATAATTATCGGCCCGATAATTATCGGACCGATATTAGGAATTATGACGTCATCCCGATAAACCCGATAAAAGTATTAATAGCCCCGATAATATACAATATATTTTTTGGGTAAAAAAAAAGAAAAAAATACTGCGGTGTGGGTGGATTGGGATGAGGGGTGCTTTTTTTTCACTCGGCTCCTCCCGTGTTGCCAGTACTGTGGTATTAGTGGTTTAGGAAGAGGGGAGTTTTTCACAAATCCAGCGCTCCCTAACTCATGCCTGGCTGTGACGTAAATGGTGTGCAGCCGTGAAACCAGGACAGTAAACAAACATGTTGTCGGTAGTATGGGACTACAGGGCCGGCCCTAGACTTTTGGGGGCCCTAAGCGAGCTTTGGCTTGGGGGCCCCCCTCACTCTGGCGGGTTCTCCCTACACACAACACGGAACCAACTTTTGTCTTATGATGTTAGCATGAGCACACATATTGTATAAATAAGCATGTAAACACTGTGGACCTAACTTCCTCTAGGGGGGGTCCTCATCT